GACGACATCGCAACCTACCAGCAATTTCTCAGTGTAAACCTCGGGCGGGTCGAATATCCGTAGAAGGCCCTCAAAAAATATGAAGCTCGCGATGATAACAAGAAACAAGGCATTCACGAAGCCGGATAGGATTTCCAGACGCCCGTATCTAAAATGCAAAAATACGTTCATGACAAGTTGAACCAGGGCTTGTACAAGCAGCACGATTCGAGCAGCTGTAGCGAGTGTCTAGTTTAACACAACGAGAGCAAATCTCGTTCCTTCCACACGTTTCAGCTGTGAAGCCTCCCCAAATAGTCAACAACGGTCAGTGCAGTCAGCTTCAGGCACAGCATGGAAGATACAGAGGAACAATCGATTGCAGGACTGATGCACTTTGTGACCACACTCCAACTGGTAATGGAAGAACCTTAAACTACCGTGGTTCAGACGGGCTACAGCTCATGATCAGAAGCTTACGAAACAAAAATATTATAAACGAGTCCGTACATCAACAACAGTCCATACAGTATCAAGTGGCCTATAAATTTTTGAGTCGCCCAGTGAACCGAAATACCACAACCAGTCACAAATCGAAACGGTAATAAAGACCGTTTCATATTAGCAGACATAAATAGACAGGATTTGTAAAAGTTCTGGGACGATTGAGTACGGAATGCTGAGATACACTTCTGAAGGAATCAGGAAATGCACACCACAGAGAAAAAATTAATTTCAGCAAAACATACAAATTCTATGAACCAATGGAGAACATAAGAGCCATCAAACAGTTTTTAGTTGCTGCACAGCTCGTGATTAACGCAGATCAGAGTCAAAAGATCAGCGGTTTGAATTCGGGCTGGTTAAACTCGCCCGTCATTCTTCAGAGATGGATAAACGAGTATCACTATGGAAGAAGAAAGCAGGATACTACACGATACAGTGACTAAAAAACTGCTGACACTGGCTTAAAAAATATCGCATCGTGACAGGTGAGAGAGACCGTCGCGGTTTTTTGACACCATAAGAAACGGTGTTAGAAATCATGGAATGCACGGACGACCGAAAATTAACTATTACATCAGTTTGTTGCTCAGAGGCACGCTACGTTAGACGCACAAGATTTGACAACACTAAAGCGTCTTACTTCCTAAGAATTGACAATTCGTGAAGCGGTTCATGAAGTTAACGACTGGAGACCCGTTTCCATTTCGATACCATCAGCCAAGAATGATCTTTGTTCCCTACAGCGGGACAGTTTAGCTTCCGTAATACTGCACTTATCTGACCAATTTCTGTGCCTATAGTCAGGACCTGCCTACTGCTACGTCACACGCGAACACTACCCCGAAATACTTCAGCTTCTCTACCTGCTTCAGTTGCTCTGCGCAACACAAACATGGCATTTCTTGAGATTACAGAAGATAAGGTTTTGGTCAGGCTGATCTCTTAAAGAGGGCATACCGATCAAAATCTTGTACTGTACCCGTAGGAGAACTGCTTGGTCGGTTTCCACGTTGACATGACAGACGCGACGAGACCCATTACCAACGCTGAGCAGTCAAAAAGCATGTGGAACGCGTCTGATATCAGACCAAGACTGTTCGTCCAGGCGCCGTACGCAAATTCGACGAACGTGAAGCACTGAAAACTACAATAAGTACATTTATGAAGCGAGCGAACTGGCGAATGAAACACTCGATCCACACACCAGGTTCAAGCACAGAAAGTAGAAGATCTTGGTCGAATCTCGGTTGGACAGAATCTGGCGGAGCGTGTTCTTGACGAATAACGCAATTGACTGCGACGTCTTCTGCAGGAAGTCCTCGCCGTAGACGTAGAGCGGCAAGCCGGACGACGAGTAGCCGACGAACTGTGCGGCCGTGGCCTTCGGCGACACCGGTGTCGTCAGATTGATCGACGCTAAAACGACCACCGTTAAACGGATAATCAACGACGGTCTTGCCCCGCCGCTTAGCTTACCTAGTACGAACAGAACGAGTGTAAACAAAACACCGCCTGATATGCGATGCTCCACCGGACCAGGGATGTGCATGCCGACAAAAAACTCGAGCGGGCTGATGGACCGGTACGGTTCGAACCACACCTTGCTGATCACGAACGACAGCACGAACATCAAGCACGGACAGTAGCGCGACAGGAAGATCGGCCGGACGTGCTTTGACAGTGCGTTTTCAACGTAGAAATCGCACAGGAACACCAGAAACACGGCGTTCGTTAACAGAGTGAGGAACATCAACCACGACGGAACGTCGACCTGAGAAAATATCATTCCGAACACAACTAACGACAAACGATTAAATGATAAAGAACGAAAACGGACGTTTTTCTTGCAGAAGAACACGACCACCGCCGCCGGAAACAACAACACCGCTGAAAGCAGGGAAGAAAACGCGGTGGCACGCTTAGTACCACCGATGTCCAGCAGCAGTCGCTTGAAAACGTTGTCTGCACACGCTCGTAGCAGCAATGCCAAAGCCAGCACGAACACGCCAGCCTGAAACAAACCAAACATGAAAACCACAACGAAAACAACTTCCCTCTTAAGCTGACCTTGTGATCCGCTATTCCGAACCAGTTGATCAGGTGGTAAAACACGTGATTCAGGCCGACGTGATGCTGATGACCTTGTACTAAACATAAAACAGCTACAGCGAACACAGCAAAACTGAAACAGAAGCACTACAACAATATTCGCACACCAGACGCAAGGCAGAAGGTAACCAGCCCCTTTTGACGACGATCAAACACCGCAGAAGGAAGCGTTCATAGAGCGTTACAAACGGTAACCAGCAACGAAATAAACTCGTAATTAATAGTCAATTTACAGAGATGTGGTAGATGACTGAATCACACGGGTGAACAGCTACATGCTGTTTGACGATTAAACACTAACATCAGCGGTTTCTAGAAATCGTGTTTCGGTCCGCAGTTTACTTACCCTATGCTTGCCGGCATCCGCTGAGAGAAACTACAGTACCTAAGGGTAGCCTTCTTACAGCGAACTCGTTGTCCTTGTCAGCTAAGGCTCGATCTAATCTGGACCAACGAACCACACTCCGGGAATGAAACAAAACAAAAGACCAAAATGGGGCTGGTTGGATCACACGGAACAATAGACCGACTAAACTGAGCGTTTTTAATTAAGACACCGGATGACGTTGATCTGGGATAGTGCGATATGCTGTTCACAGTCTGAATAAAATAAGACACTAAAGAAATGGAAATACTGAACCCAACAGTACTTCCTAAGGAGCATGAGAAAAAATCAGCCACCCTGGTCAAAGCAATAGCTTCTAAAGATCTCAATCAATATCGATTGATGCGAAAGCATAGGACTGGACGTACATTCGATAAAACGTCAGTTTCGCAAACAAATAATGTTACAAAATCTGTAGGTCAGGCGAGGTCAGGTGAGTTCGAAAACAGCTTACCGTGCTCGTGTACGAGCGTCACGTCGCGGTCCAACAGAATGAGCGACAAGAAGCCGAAAGCGAACAGCATTGCACCACGAAGCTAAAGTACAGCAGCTATACACGGTTTAACAACGCGCCAGAGACACACACGGGCAAAAGCTTGGGAACTAATGTGACGCAAGCAACAATTTTCCACATTACATTAATGGTGCAAATAATGCAAATATCTTAATGAGAAAATAGTATTACTGAAGAAATCATAAACGGAACAATCATGTATACACATTCTTCTTACGTATTTCAAGTTTCAGAGAATAACTTTATGGTTTGTTTTTAAGCTTTCCTGAAGATGGACTGAGTATGCTAAAAACGTCAGCCATGGAAGGAAAATCCGAAATCACAGCTTTCCTCTTGTGACATTAATTATATTAATGTTGCAAATTTCCTTTAGACATATGAAGATCTTCTGATCCTTACTAACCCTGGGCGTAGTGGAACGCGTTCGAAATGTTGAAAGTTTGACGATGACACTGGACAAATTCTAACCAGAGTACATGCAGATGGAAACCACCTGGAACAAAAGCTGGCAGGTGTTGCGAGCCAATTTTCCCATAATATTACTGGTATTCGTGTTCACGCCAAAAATATGGGATTGAACATGGAGAATGTTAATAAGCATAATTCCATCAATTTACACGTGTTTCCATAATAATATTGTTCCTAGATACATAAATGATCATCAAAGCAGACCATAGCTTATCGTAGCTTAGCATCCGCAGTGGGTCGATATCTCTCACAGTTATATTGGCTAGAAGAACTTATTAGTTCATTACTATCAGCATTAGGAGTCGAGACTTTATATACGTTTTAACGACAACATCAAAAAGTTAGTTTGTAAGTCGAAAGAAAGCGTCTGCCATCCAAATTGAGTCATCCGGCACTACATTACAGCTTACTCATTGTGTTTGGATGTCCAGGGAGAATTTAAGCATACCAAGGCCAAACTGTATCATAACACTTTCAGTACACCAAAGCATCTAGCGTCCCTATACAAGATTAAACATTATAAAGCGTATCATCGGCGCACCGGGTATTGTCGCAAAAGCAAAAAAACGCGTCTTCGTCAACAATATGTTAAAAGGCGAATGAATCCATCAAATCGATATATACGGCGCTACGATATTCGAAGCTTTTGCATCCAGATGCCTACAAGTTCAGTGAAGCAGGTCAGAACTCCGTGGTATTTCGCATCTGCAGGGAACTGAAAAATCTTCCACCACTTTATTGGGTATGGTAAAGTATTGCTTCTTACAAACTGAGTTTCAAAAGCTGGTATTCCATATATGCTATATTAGCAACAAGAACAAATTTGGCTGGTAAATTAGGATAATTTGAATAAGCGCACAACCATGAAACCGAGTTACGCAGCGTTAAGACATACTTTTCCGTTGTGGGCATTTACACACGCCATGACGACCCTGTACATGAGCATATCGAAACATTTTGCTACCTGCAGTGTTACGTCACTCATTATCAACTGTTTTAGAAACAAGTGCACTTCAATTTTTCGCAAACGCTCAAAACAATGGATTTATCAGTCGAACGTACGTTAATAGGCGTATACTTCATCAGATCAAGTTAGGCAGCACCATGGCAACCACAGCCTCGCTTCTAGACGCCCAGAAAACCAGTCAAGCAAGCCAGACCTCCACAGCATTCAGTACTTAGAGGTAACGAATACACCAAGTGGCATCTTATTGGCCATAGCAAAGTAGTTCTGCTTGCCAACGATGCTTCAGAAGTTAGAACTATTTATACGCCCTACCAGCACGTAAAACACAGGCTTAAAAGCCGCGCACTGTTTCTTACGCGTAGATCTCCGGTTGTTAGGCTGCATCCTGTTCTCTACCGCCTATGCAGGAACTGGTTTCACTATATTTTAGCTCCTGTGACGCAAGGCATTGCTACAGTCGACAGACCACGACGACAATTCCGGCTACTTCCATCAAAGATTATGCACTTATGATTATGTGGAAAGACGAATGAATCACCCCACGTGGCATAAGTTAGGCGATCGCGATGCGGTGAGTTTAAGTTACGTTATTATGCTAATTTTTAACTAATAAGTGGTGTAACTAGACAAAAAAATAACTTTACCCTGGATGAACCGCCACTACCGAGAAACGCGGCGGAAAGGGCGGCCAGAACGACGGTCGTACTGTGTTCATATACGAGAATGCTGCGCAAAGGACCGCACAACGTAATACCGTAAAACCACAGGATCTGCGACAAAGTAATTACGACGGCATGCTGAACGACACGTCGCCACTAGAATACAGATAAGTCGCTGACCATCTACGCGGACTCGAGCGAAAAGCGTACCTGACTTTTGGACAACGATACTTCGGACGTAAAAGGTCTGTGCAAAATTATCATCACGACTGCCGTGCTAAACAAAGACATGATTAGGCTCGCTGAAAGGAAAGTGGTGGAAAGGAAGCCGTTCCCGGAAGAATGAACGATCAACGAAGAGATGCGAAAACTGGATGTGCTGGGTGTAGGAAGACGAAGACCGGTCAGCTCTGACTCTGACCCTCAAATACACGCTGTTCATCATCAGTTTTCGGTCAGCATTTCCACCAAACGTCAGGGCTCTCTCTATGGACCAGTCAGACACTGCAAAACCTGATTAGTGTTGGCGGCTGTTTGAAGACTCAGTTCACTCAGTTCGGCTACAGAAGCTACATGACCAAGTTTAATATCGACGGTCATGATGTGACCGCAGTCTTAGGCAGATGCAGTGCTGCCACTCCTACTTCAGATCTTCACAGTAACTGACAATATGATTTGTGATGAAACTGCTGATCCGCTGTTGAGAGCAGCAACAAACAAAGCTGAAGCTAAGTTTTGTCTCAATCGTGAATTAGCAAATTCGTTACAACTCAAACAACAAACCCGGAATCGAATATGTAAAACCATATTTGGTTACATGATCTTACGGATTAATGGCGGTATCAACCAGCACTGCAGGCATGCCACCATCATTTCTAGGCTGCACCAGGTTCTAACCTGTGCCGCATGAATTCTATTCAATGAAGCTGTAGAATCGAGGAAGTGTTTACAGAAAACGTCGTGTTTCTCAGGTACAGTCGCAAAAACAAGTACACTGAACATAATGGAAATTAGCGAGTCTTCCCTTCAACCGTAGCCAAACTTGAA